TCGGTATACTATTGAGAATTCGACATTAGCAAGAACCGATTGCATTAGAGATTTAGGTGTCAATTTTGATAGTCAGTTGACATTTAATTTTCGCCAAACAGCGCTGAGTGCTTGTCGCACATACGGTTTTATTGTTAGGAATTGCAAAAATTTCAATGACACCTCGTCATTATCGTCTCTGTATTTCAGTCTAGTAAGATCTAAACTGGAATATGGCTCACTCATATGGAGTCCTACATATAGTCAATATATCGTTGCTATTGAAAAAGCACAAAATAAATTTTTGAAATTCATAGCTTTTAAAATCGATGGTGTGTATCCACCAAGAGGCTGTAGTTATCCTGAGCTGCTACATAGATTTGATTATCAGTCTTTAGAGTGCCGTAGATATCAGTTATCTGTACTTTTCTTGCACAAGTTTTTCCATGGAAAAGTAGATTGTCCTGTATTGTTAGCTCAAGTAGATATTCTGATTCCTAGAATCATATCTAGACAATACAGGACTTTCCTGTGCAAAAGAGCTCAAACTAACTTACTACGAAAGGCTCCAATCAATTTTATGTGTCGAAATGCTAAAAAAATTTCAAGTGCATGTGATATTTTTCAATGCAGTGTCTGTGAATTAAAGAATAAATCTCGCGCCCATCTATGATGGATTTTGGTCAAGTTTTTCATGTCTCTTTTGTTTCTGTTTTTTTCTGTTTTACATTTTGTGCTGTAACTACCATGTAAGCTATACTACTGCTTTTTGCTCTATAAATGGTAATCACTGTTGGGCAATAAACGCATTATTATTATTATTATTATTATTATTATTATTATTATTATTATTAAGACTTGCTCCAGGAGTATGTTTTGTAACGCATAAGCTATTAATTACCGGATATTGCCGACATAGCTAGTATAAATTGTTACGTTTACTAGCGCTCAGCAGATAAACCGAATCATTGTGTGAGACATGGCTTAACAAGTTATGTTGAAAAAACTAGTAATATAGCTTTCGTTCGTCTGACCACATTTGGCAACTCCTCTATACACCATGTATGGTGTACTTAAATAAAACAGCACAAAGTGACACCTTCCAGAATAGGCCACTGCGGGAGTGAAAACAGCAAGCTATCTATTAAAAAAAAATGTATATCAGCGCTCTAATCAACTTGTCACCTTATTAAAACGTTTAAAGATGTATCTGCTACGGGTAATTAAAATGCCTCTTAGACGTGAATGTCCAATATTCTCATTTAGCGTCCTTGCCCGACCATATACTGTAATGGACATGTTGATATAAGGACGAATGGACTAGGAATATCAACGACACCTAGGGTACTAAAATTTTTTTTAAAAAAAACTTTAATCTCAACAACACGATTGTTATATTCGTCAACGTTGAAGAACAGTTTTTGTTCTCTAGTTTAGTTTTTGAAATGAGATTAATGCCTCATATATTCATGGCGCGTCATCGGAGTTCCATACCGTTCTTCATAGTGAAATTCAAATTGACTAAGCTGCAAATGTATCTGTAGATAGTAAAAAAACACAAAAATTATTTCACGTTTTGAGGTGAACAGCTGATCACAAAGGTTTGTGTTAATTTGTAACGTTGGCAATAATGAACTTCGGGACCGTATTCAGAGCTGTTGTTCACATATCAGGATTATATTTTTAAGTGGATGGGAAATGTGACAACCAAATGTACAAGTACACTATAGAGAAGTTTATTAGAAAATTATTTTAGTACATCTGGGATTTATTGATTACATGGTATGTCATTAGAACAGGTTGAGTTGTCCTTTTTAAGAATCTGTAAATTTCCGTGTAAAAATAATATAGAACGTGATTCTGGTTTAGTGTCCATCATCAGTGTAACGTAATTAATCGAAAGCACATAACTAATCACATCAAAACTAATACATTTACCCAAAATTACGAAAACGACTTACCACCATGCCATATTATTGTGGTACTTCAAATTCGTCATATCACTCAACTAGCAAAATAAAAATAAAATATACTTCCTGAAATTCACTGACTTGATATATCCTTATGAATGTCTTACTCTTTTTGAAAAAAAATTATAAACTACGTTTGCGTTTCCTTTGAATGTTTGCAGAGTTCTCAACAGTTGGGTCATGCCTGTATTCACGAACACTACATTGTCCCAGTTGTGTACATTTCATGACCTCCTGCAATAGTTGCTTACATTTTTCTATTTTATTAACTGTTAGAATTACCTTGATAATGTTCAGACCTAATTGAGGGAATCGAACCTCTATCATCTCGGTCATATGCTGCCACATATTCTGAACTAAATGTATCGCTGTTTCATTGCCTTTTAAGATCATATGCTGTTCCAAGTTATAAAAAGTAGATATAATTAATATAGTCAAACACTGTTTATCTTATCTTAGGCCCGTATCGTCAGTCCTCCCTACAATTGTAGGGCGCCTTTATGGCCTCCTTGCTTGTCATAGTTTTCTACTTCTCCGTGTCAGCGCTCTATTTTGAGGTTATGTCACAAACATCTATTTGCATCAAATTGTGCTTGCTTTTGAGTTATATCATGTTTTATCAGCCTGAAATTTCCTACAATTTAAAAAGAAAACATATCTTCACAATAGGAGAGCGCTGACGCTGACACGGGACAAGTGTAATCTAGAAACTTTTGAAGGAGAGAAAGGAGTATGACAATCAAGGAGGCCATAAACGCACAGTACAATTGGAGGAACGACTGACGATACGGGCCTTAGTCCTACCTGACTTGAAATTTAATCATGGTCATTAGCAGGCACTGTGCTTGCAGCGTTTCTTTCGTATGTAAATAAACTTTTTTAAATAAAAAAATGCTTAGCAAGTACAAAATGAATCTGTAGCATACAAAGAACTACAACAAAATACGAGTCTGTTTACCTGGAGTTCAGCGATCCCACGGAATTAATTATGTGTCCTATGCCGATATGCGAAATTTTGAAACATTACTAGATAACTAGGCGTCATTGTTCCCTGATGGATACTCGTGAAACAGGGTGTTTGTATCATAACCTCACACTCCATTATACCACTGCTTGACGGGCATTAACGTCGTTTTCTGGCCAATTGTATTAACAGTTTACCTGTCTGTTGAGATACGGAGTGGTAAAGTTGGGCCCGCTACAAAATTGACATAAACTCAGCGTGCTTAATTACATCTCTCTACATACCATGAGCATTTTACCGTGCACGGACTCCCGGACTACATAATGTACAGCGCAGGGTAGCGCTCTGTACAGTTACTTACAGGGCATTTCCAAGTTAAGGTGAAATACTTAAATTATCATTTTTGCGTCTCCCATAACAAAGAATGTCATATGAACGCGCATTGAATTCTTAGACATAGAGTGATAAAATTTTAAAGAAAGTTACTTTTTTCTTATAACATCTATGATACTGCTGTAGATCTTTCGATGAAAATGGTTATACTGCTGCTATGGAGTAAGAAGCATCATCTAATGTTCACTAAATTGCTATGCTATTACGTTGTGTCTTGTGCCAGTTCAATGGCACATCAAAACGTTTCCTTTATTAATGCGCAAACAACGTAAATTCGTCTGAAGGAAATCAAAAAATCGGAGACCCCCAAAAACTTTATGGGGAATGAGTTTCGTCTAATTTTCTTAAAACTTTAGTATATTCTATATCTCAACACGTAGAGACGAACACTGTCCATAGGCCCAGAGCTTCTCCACGAGTAGTCTCCGAGATACAGGGAATCCAAGTTGGGCAGTCAGCACCCAACAGTAGCATTTCATATTTATTTACCTTGTTATTTTCACCCCATCAGCGGGTTCGCCACTATTGCAATTCTATCATATGCACAGGGTGGTCAAAACAACTGAGATGAATGTCAAAGAAGAACATATTTGCTACTGCGTTTTTTCGGGTGACACACAAATCAAGAGTTTTAATAGGCAGAGTCTAAACCGTGCATTTTTAAGCTGGTTATACTAACTCCGTCATATATGCATAATTGACTACCCATTCACCCAGGTAAAAATAACTTAGAAGTAGTCTTCGATTGACTGGAACAGTTCAGGGAATAGGTGGACTTGGTAACAGCTAGAGAATATAAGATCTGGGCGTGTAATAAAACTAAAGCTATACTGGATAGTCCTGAAAATTTTTGGAATGTATTCTCACAGAGACGTTGCTGGATCATCCTGTATAGCTTTTTAAGAAGTTTTTGCTCTGTCTTGGCAGGTTTGGTTCGCCCTGTACATACCTGTATGATGAGTCAACTAGTAAATAAAAATCAATATGTCAAAAAGTATTACAAGGTCGTGAACCGAACCCACAATCCATTGCAATGTAGTACGGAGTGACCAATTTGAAGGTCCTGTACAACGGAAATGAATTCCACAAATCACCATGTCACATTAGACAAATATTCTTATATACTAGTAGGACTAATTATTTTACATTAACAATATAATTGGAACTAATAACCAATTGCTAAAAACCGTATAACAAACGTCCATCATTTTGGTTGCTGTCAACTTAAAAAATGTGATTCGGCCACCACATGCATGTATTATGAAATTCTTCCCTCATGAATCTTCTAACAAGATTTGTCAACATCAGATGTATCAAAATGCTTCTTGATTTATGCAAAAAAGATTTCCATATCCTTTCCCAATTTCAGCAACCTCGACTTTCTGCAGCCTTTCCTTATCTTTCAGCGCCAAGCCTTTTGCAGAGTTTCGCAAAGCATCCCACCAGCCACTTGAGAATTTCTCAAACGTCGCTCGGTCTTTTTGGCTGTATATTTTCGTGTTTTCAGACACACTTTGCTGACCTTCGTCACACTTTATGAGAAAAAATATGACAGGAAACGGAAACGCACATTCACAACTTCCGCAAAAGGAAATATCAACATATATTTTCAATATATAGTCCAAGGGGCCATATATCGTGCATATACAGAATGGCTCCAAGCTGGTTGACTCCAGCTTTGATTTAAAAGTAACATGTTTAATCAATATTTCGGTACTATTCAAGTTCCTGCAAAATCTGCCAGAGACAGCGATTTCAAGATGGCGTCCGGCAAACAGGCGTGTGCTCGAAGCTCAGATAATTTCATTTTGAACACCAAGAATATTTCTTGCGATTTTTGCAAAAAGTTGTTTCATCATCATTGTGCTGAGGTCGACGACAGGTTAGCTAAAGTTAAAGGTGATTGTGCGGGAATCAAATGGTTCTGCAGCGATTGTCTTCCAATGATAAATGGCAAGCTGAAAATGGCAGATTTTGGGGAAGCAGTATTTAATCGAATACCTGAAAAGTCTGAAGTTAGAATGGTATCTGGTTCACGGGCGTCAAGGAGCAGTGCTAGTGTACCCGAAAGTGATTTAGCTGTATTGGAAAAAGAGATTGAGTGCCTGGTAAGAGAAAAAAATTTGATCGATAAAATCGCAAACGAGAGAGGTTATATTGTGGAAATTCAGAAAAAACTCATAAGTGACCTTGAAGATAAATTCCGAAGTCAGTCAGTGGGCAACAGCAGCAAAAACAGAGATTGTGTTTCGTACAGTGCTATCGTGAAAAAAGTGGACCATTCATATTTTTTGATTAAGCCTGCCGATCGCTCTACTTCGTACAAAACTGTCGAAAATGATTTTAAATCTCGTTATTCGCCTGGTGCTCTTAATGTCAATATCAACAAGACTAAACTCATAAAAAATGGTCTGATGATCAGCTGTAATAGTAAAAAAGATGTGGAGACTCTAAAAGATTCTCTAAAATCTGATTTAGGAAATAAGTTCGATGTTTGTGAGCCTACCAAAATGTTTCCTAGAATGTTGATACAGGGTGTACCTAACGACTGTTTCAAAAATCCTGGTCCAGATAAACTTGAATTTGTTGATAGTTTTGTTGACGATTTAATATTCAATAACAATTTACAGTATATTCATATAAGAGATAGACCGGACATAAACAAGACCACGTGATCATCGAACGCTGTAACATTCGGCAGGGACGTATTAAGAGTCACGCAGTACATATTTTAGATAGTAGATGCTGCTTTGCGTAACTTTGTAGTAAATTAGCACAATTCGATGTGTATACGATTGGTGATGGATATAGGATCATGTGGGGGTGGGGTAAGAAATATATAATGATGTAAATATACATAAGGGTTTCAAAAGTTTCGCTTCGATTTCCAGCTTCGGATACCGTCTGATGTTTGGTGAAATACAGTCGAATATAATCTCAAAATGGCGTTTAAATTAGCCTATAATTATAACAAGGTATAACAATAACAACGACAAACTCAACAACTTAATAAGATAACAAACGAAAACGTCCAAAGAAATATCAAATTGCAATGATACACACGACATACGTAACACGTCTGAACCTGAATGTGACTCTGCCTTGATACGACTGCTCTGCCGCTCGGCATAGGCATTTAATTGCGAATTGACCAATGAGGGCTCCTGTTTGACGTCGAGACGGCGGCGTTAGTGTGAAAATCACCCGAACCTTTTGTTTACATCCGGTCTATCTCTTATCTGAATATACTGTAGGTGTTAATTCAGATGATATAAAAATAATTAGTTGCTATAAGGTTAAAAACACAAAAAATGTTGTTATCGAGGTGGTTCCTTCTGTGTTCAATTTACTTAGTAGCAAAGGGTTTGTTTTTATTGGCTGGGTGAGATGTACTGTCAGGGAAAATTTATATTTGCTACGTTGTTACAAATGTTGTAAATTTGGTCATGGTAAGAAAGATTGCCGAAGCAAGGATGTTGTCTGTTCTAAGTGCTCAGGTTTTCATGAATTTAGAGATTGTAAAGCTGATGATTCTTGTTGTCCTAACTGTAAGTTTCATAATGATAGATATAAAACTAACTGGTGTACAAAGCATGTTGCAAGTGATACCTCTTGCAGTTATTACAAAATGAAGATCGATAATTTGAAAATGCAGATTGCTTATGAATAATTGCACAAAAACTTATAACCATTTTGTTGTTGGACACCTGAATGTAAGATCTCTGTTTGCTGGCTTTGATTCCTTTGTAGATTTGTTGACTACTGATAACTATGATATTATGGGTATCTCCGAAACATGGATTAATAATGATTTTACAGCAGATATAGTAAATATTCCTGAGTACACTTTTTTCCATACTGATCGAGTAGGACGTGGAGGAGGAGTTGGTGTTTATTTAAGCGATTCACTGAGAGGTAAGTTGGTATTGCAAGATTTTTTATGTCCAGATGGTATGGAGCAGGTTTGTGCTGAAATAGTGTTGAATAATCTAAAAATTTTGGTTTGTGTTATCTACAGAGCTCCTTCGAGCAGATTATCAAGTTTTATTGATCATATAGACAACTTTCTCTCATTTGTGTCTCCTCAGTATGATAATATATGCTTGCTGGGTGATATAAACGTTGATCAAATTACTGACCATTCTTTTCTAGATTGCATTGCGTGCTACGATATGGTATCTCACATCACCCAACCAACTAGGATAACTTTAACCACGGCAACCTCCATAGATGTCATTTGTACAACAAATAACTTAGCTGAATCATTAATTTCAACTAGCTCTGTACCTGTTCCGAATTTGTCAGATGTGACTTCAACATTACACGGCCTAAGAATTTTCAAAATACTGTCAAATATAGAGACTTTAAACACTGTTGTAAAGATCAGTTTTTGGTGGATTTGTATAAAATCCCATGGGACGATATATATTACATCAGTAACTTAGAGGATAAAGCTACGTTTTTTTCTAATCATATTTTGGATTTGTTTGATGTCCATGCTCCTGTTGTTTCATCACGTATTACTAAACCTTATGCTCCATGGCCCACAGGTGGCATAAAATTTTTGATCTCCGAGAGAAATAAAGCCTTTAGAAAATATCAGATTTTAAAAAGTTCAGCTAGTCTCGAATATTACCAGAAATTAAGAAATGATGTCATATCCGCTATTAGGCGGGAGAAAGCAGCATATCTAAGCTTCAATGAACAACTAAATAGTAACAAGCATTTCTGGAAAGCTGTACATTCGTTGAAACTCAAAACTAATGTAGATAGATCTTTACCTACACAGCTGAAGAATGCCGATGAAGCAAACAATTATTTTTCTTCCGTTTTCACGCCTTCGGGCAATTGCAAGGATCTAGTTGATAAATTTAATAGTACCAAAATTAATGAAAGTGCTAGATTTGAATTTAGTTTTGCTACCCCACAAAATGTGCTAGACATTATTCTGTCCCTAAAATCTAATGCAGCAGGTTCGGATGGTATAACAGTCTCAATACTGAAGCTTTGCTTGCCTCGAGTATTACTACCCCTGACGCATTTATTGAACTGTTGCCTGGAGGCTGGGTATTTCCTTGATGCTTGGAAACTATCTCTTGTTAAGCCCTTGCCTAAATGTAAAAATCCAAAATGTCTCTCAGACTTAAGACCTGTAACTTTGATTCCTGTTATATCGAAGACATTGGAGAAATTGATTAAACATCAAGTTTATCATTATTTCTCTAATAATGATTTCTTTCCCAAGTGTCAATCTGGTTTCCGCAGTGGTTTCAGTACAACTTCAGCTTTAGCAAGGATTTTAGATGACATCATTGCTTCGCTTGATAAGGGAGATGCTTCAGCACTTGTATCATTAGATTATTCTAAGGCGTTCGATAAAATAGATCATGAGCTTTTATGTGCTAAATTGAAGTTTTTTGGTTTTTCAGACATACCTCTAATGTTTTTTATAACATATCTTTCAAATCGTAAACAAGTATTAGAGATAGACAACACTATATCTAGTCCGATTGATATAACATCAGGTGTCCCTCAGGGTTCAGTTTTAGGGCCCTTGTTGTACTTAATTTATACTATAGACTTGGGTAGCTCTGTGAAAAACTCTTCTGTGATGTGCTATGCCGATGATACACAGATATATAAGAGCTTTAATAGTAACACTTTGCATACTTCAATCAATGAGCTTAATGATGATTTGGAGGCAATAGTAGGATACTCAAATGGTAACAATCTTAAGCTCAATAAGGATAAGTGCTCAGTGATGCTTTTTTGTCCTGCTGTCAAACGTAACACTATATTGTATTCTCTTGATGTAAAAATTGACAAGGAGCGTCTAGCTGTCGTAAATACTACAAAAAATTTAGGGTTGATTATTGATTATACTTTACGATTTAAGGAGCATGTTTCGTCTATCTTAACAAAATGTTATGCAACTTTGAAGTGTTTTTATGTCAATCGCTCTATTTTGAGTTAGTTAGAAAAAAGTTATGTGAGGCTATTATATTTCCAAGCTTATTTTACTGTAGCACTGTGTTCTATCATTGTCTTGATTCTATCACAAAAGCAAGACTCCAAAAACTCCAAAAAACTTGTTGTCGATTTGTATTTAATCTCAAGAAGTATGATCATGTTTCCTTAAAGAGATTTCAGCTTGGTTGGATGTGTATAGAAAATGCCATAGCAAAGTACCATATAGCAGTGTTTACACATAAGAACATATCTTCTAGATCCCCCTTGTATCTGAGAAATTTGTTTTCAGACGAAATAATTTAGACATTGATTTCAGACACAAAAAAAGACTAGAGATCCCTATGTATAAAACAACTTTATTTCATAGTTCATACACTTACAATGCTATCCTGATTTATAACGAGTTAGATGACAATATAAAGGATTGGCCAGTAAACAGATTTCGTAAGCATGTGAAACAGATTTATTTGTCATTGTAGTAATTGTGGAAAAGTTAGTTTTTTAATTCTTACATTTTATTTTATTTTACGTAATATATGTGTGTATATATGTATGCTAGGAAGCTATCAAGCTCGTTGTTTTGAAGCGTCTTTTGCTTGTCAAAGTTTCCTTTGATTGAGTGTTTCAATTTAGTATTTGGGTAGGTTAAGTAGAGTAGCCAAGAGCTAGACTTCGCCTACGTAGAGGTCACATTATGTTGTAGTGTATATAATGTGCCTAATAAAGACATTTTATTATTATTATTATTATTATCACGATATCAAACGCTTCTCATGACTACTTTGAGAGAATCAACAACTCCCAAAATCAATCAAATGTTTAATTTCAAACTGATACCTGATTATGATGAATATGCATTTTGGTCGAAGTCGTGAAAGTACACTCAGGGGCAAAATAAACGCAACACGCAAAACTTACATACCAACCATTTTATCTTCTAATCTACTTTAATTATTTCTCCGGGTTGCGGCAGGCACGCTCGTTGGCTTTCATTTACATATTAAGTCTCTTGATAATAGCCAGTGTTTGAATTGTGATACAGGCCAATGAGATCAATCAGACCGCAATACCATTATCGAGAACCACGTTTTCTCTGAAATCTTTTTTCCGTGGATTGGTTAACCAGGGTGATTCAAAATTGGGCTAATGAAACCTGATCTTGATTTACCCTGTACAGTAAGTCAAATCGTGACCATCATCAACAAATTAAGAGTACAGAATAAAACCAGTCAGTGCCTGTCGAACAAATCATCAAATTGAAAAAGTAGTGACATTGCGCAGTTGGCCAAAATTTTGCTTATTTCACCCCTGAGGGGATAACAATTTCACATCCTCGCAGATTTCACTGAATTTAATGCGAGTAGATTTTTTCTTAATTTTACTTTTATGCAGTGTGTTCGAGTGTATACTTCTAAAAGGACAAATTTCACCGATATAGATTATGATTGTTCAACTCTTTATGACGTTCAAAAAAGAAATAGACTCTCCGATTAATAGAATGGTGGACTCTCCGGAAGAAATTACTCAAGTTTAAATAAGCCAACAGTTATTGCACATGACAAAGCTGAAAAATATTGGGACTGATAAAATATCGCTTAGAGTTGATAGATTCTTGAACGTATCTCTCAGACGTAAATATTAAGACCTTCTTAAAAAAGTAACCTTCTGAGTAGATCGGCTCAGAGGTATCTTAGGTTCCTCCTTGTAAGAGTGATACTGTTTATAGATGAAACATTCAGGATTAAAATACTATTTTTTTTTTTAAATACTCCATTATAATAATTATGTTCCTTTGCGTGTAAGCTTGCTTTTATCTCATATAGTTTTGACTCTTGGCCAGGTAAATCACCATTCTGATTTCATTTAATTCTGCTATGTGATCTCTTGATCAAAAGACCTACAAAACTATTCCTTGGCACTCGCAACTTTATTCGTTATTTGGATTAATAGTGGTAGAATACAAGGTCAACATTAAGTCTGACCAAACTACCATTATTGGTTAGAGATAACTAACACACGAGAAGAAGATTCGTAAAAGATTTACAAATATACAAGCAACATAACATGGCTTGAGCTTTGAGCAATTCAATTATGTTAAATGGTAAGAGAGGTACCTACTGAACCCCTGAATAAGCCTTCGATTAAACTTGAATATCCACTGCTTTCCAAATAGCCACTCGTCTTTTTGTTGTTTGACCGGTAATAGTAACCAAGCAGAAATTCGGGGTGATGGGATAATTTAATTGAGGCATGAGTACTATATTTCAACGTAAAAGTGACAGTTTATTTCAAGACGGCCGTAAGATACCTTGTTGGAGCATTAAAATGAAATAGGGCTCCATCTGGTATAATTTTTCTATCTTTCAAAATGGCTGTCAAAGTCTGTCGTTTTTCAAGGCGTCATACATATGTATTCTGTATCCATTTTCCTCAATGTAACATCTCAAGTTTATTATGTGATTTTCATCCTGATGGAACTCCTTCTGGTAAAATGAAGTTAGTTATGTCGAAGTTACTCTTCACTGCTGGTTCGGTCACATATTAATCAAATCCAAGCGAATAACCACAATTTCTGTGTTATGTGCCGCGTTTATAATATGGTTCAAGATGACACACGGGTTGATGACGTCAGTTACAGGAATCGCTTGAACGCGTTGGTTTTAACCGCGGTTTTGTTGCAAGTTGTTTATTTTAGAAAAGCGCGTAAATAATCTCTAATTATTTTTATTATCACTTAATAATCGGTGCTTTTTCGTCTACAACTGTATATGGAAAGTTTAAATAAGAAACCTTTCATAATATTCATGGGAGAAATGTTTTTTTCAGATTTTTTTTTAATGATGGAACCATGGCTTTGTAGCTATGATAACTTTCAATTCTCTAAATTTTTCCGTATGTCAAAGAAAACATTTATTGATTCAGCAGAAATGATGAAAAAAGAAATTAGCAAAACCGTATACAGCTGGATATCATCTAGTGAGTTTATATGGCCATATTTTAATATTCTTGTGGTATATGGCTACACCGGATACTTTGTTAAGCATAGGAACTACATTTAAAGTGTCCCCAACAACCGTAATGAGTATAACTGATAAGGTGCTTATGGTGAAACTGAAGTCAGCCTGTATTATATTTCGGGATCCAGTCCTCAATATTACATAATTGTGTAGTAGTGGCTTTCCATACTTTTTATCACGAGGTTCAAAGCAAAGGAAAAATGCGCCCGTCCGGTCCTGACTGCCGTTCACCTTGATGATCTAGTGGCGCACCGTCCTATTCGCTTCATTGTGGTTTTCGTGCTTGTGCGACAAGGTTCATTGCGTTCGCTGCCTCAGCTAATAAACAGAGACGAAAAACCGAGTGATATCGCCTGACTTGATACCCTAGGTAGGTAATTCTTTTTGAATTATTCTCAAATATTTTTGATTTTAACATAGGAGATTCAGGGCCTATTTAACGGGACTCCTTAGGGGCATCATACAATTTACTTTTATTTCAGCCCGTTTTTTCAGGGATTATTATGGGTAAATCCAAAAGTCATAAGAAGAAAAATCGCTCACCGAGCAACGCCAAGGGTAATAATGATTGCAACACGTATACCTACTTATTAGAAAGAATGGAGAAACTAGAGACCTTAATTAATCGTCGCAATTCAAGATGTCCGTCCACTTCTTATTCAACCCATAGTCGTTTGTCACGACAAAGGCGTCGCTCAGAACATACACGCAGTCCAAGCGTGTCGTACCGTCGCCGCATGCCGCGTCGATCGATTTCGAAATCGAGAAGCCGTTCCCGCTCTGGCGCTTCTCACTCTTCCTCCCGTCGTAATCGGAGAGAGAGAGAATCTCGATCGCCGATCCATGTTCGAGCCTTGCCGGTTCAACATGAGGAGCAGCTATCTCCGTCTCTCCAGCTGATGAATACAACGTTGCCACGTGCAGAAGCAAATACCGACAATATGGATTGCGGAGACGACACTTGATCTTACACAACGATGTAACCTTACCTGAGGACATCTTAAAGCTTATGGGAAAAGATGTAAATACAGACCAAAGCGCTGTTTTTTCCCTGCAGGATCAACTTACTACGATCTGGCAAACTATTTTGACTAATGGCTTGAAAAAATCTGATGCTCAAACGCTTTTTAATGCATACCAAACATCAGAAAAACTATCATTCCTTAGACCTGCCGAATTGAATCCGGAAGTAAAGGCTGCCTCGTCAAAACAAAACATCTCTGTGGACGCATCTTATGTCGAGATGCAAAATCAACTAGGAAAAGGCCTGGCTGCACTAGGTAGATCAATTTCCACGATTCTCCTTGATTTAGAACATATGCCAGATCAATTCAAGGGCGATTTCCTTACTAGTCTATGTGATAGCGGACGAATTCTAACGAATCTCTTCCATCGCATGTCGGTTACACGAAAGAACCTTCTCGTTCCTGGTCTAAAAATATCTAAAGAACTGGCAGATGACTGCCTACCCGGAGAATTTCTTTTTGGTTCTAATTTAACTCAGAAATTAGACACAGCAAAATTTCTTCTAAATGTGAGTAAGGATCTGAAACTCCCGACTTATCAGAATAAAGTGGGCGCTTCTAAACCAGCACTCGCTCCCAGAAGGGCACAAAAAGGAGGAGGGGGACAAACCCGAGCTGTCTATACAGAAACCTCAAGATCATCAGGGCCTTTAAACTCTCGCCCCCCGACTCACCGATTGGGGGTAGTGAGTCACGAGAGGGGCCCCTCATCCAGATTTCACAAAAACACCTATTGGAACAAACCACAAGAGAAGAGGAGACGACATTAGAATTGGTAAGCAACTATGCAGGTCGCTTGAATTCTTTTTATCAGAAATGGTTAACCCTTACTGACAATCCTATTGTTTTGGGTTGGATCTCAGGATATAAATTACCATTTGTTAAAACACCTATTCAGCTACAAATCCCTAATAACGCTAATCATTCATATGATGAAAACCAATTAATCAGTTCCGAAATTAGTAGGTTACTAAATTCTGGGGCTATAGAAAAGTGTAACGGTAGTGTAACTGGGCAGTTTGTTTCTCCCATTTTTTTAACCGATAAGCCTAACGGTGGAAAACGCTTTATTTTAAACTTAAAGCGATTAAACGAATTTATCTACGCCCCGCATTTTCAGCTGGAAGACGCCCGAACAGCAAGTAAGTTAGTGCATCGTGGCAACTATGGAGCCACGCTAGACTTGAAAGACGCCTATTATATGCTAGCAGTTCATCGTGACCACAGAAAATATTTACGATTTTCTTTCAAGGATCTTTTATATGAGTTTACTTGCCTGCCGTTTGGTTTGTCTTCAGCCCCATACGTATTTACCAAACTAATGAAACCAATCGTCAACCACGTGAGAGCCAGGGGCGTACCCTGCGTAATTTATCTGGATGACTTTTTGGTTTTGGGACCAACACGTGACGAGTGTTCTAGAAACATTCGTTTGGTTGCTTATCTTCTAATTTCTCTGGGATTTGTTATCAATTGGCAAAAGAGTGTCCTCTCACCTTCTACGGAATTTAAATTTTTAGGGTTCGTTTTTAATTCTATTAAAATGACCATAGAATTACCACCAATAAAACGTCAAAAAATCTTAAATTGGATAACGTATTTTAAAACGCACTCTACTTGTAAAATTTTAAAGTTAGCCCAGTTTCTCGGGTTGCTTACGTCCGCTTGCCCAGCAGTGAAGTACGGATGGTTGTATACCAAAATATTAGAAAAGGAAAAGTTCCTTGCTTTGTGCCAACACTCCCAAAATTACAATGCAACCATGTACATTAACCAGACGATAATTGAAGAACTTAATTGGTGGGAACACCATATCAATACTGCTAAAAATGATGTTAAACGAGATCATTTTCACCGAGAGATCTTTACGGATGCTAGTTTGTCAGGTTGGGGCGCCTTTTGCCAAGGCGAAAGTAGCTATGGTCGATGGACGGAACAAGAATCAAATATTCACATAAACATTTTGGAACTAAGAGCTATATACTTTGGCCTAAAATGTTTTGCCAGAGATTTATCAAATTGCAACGTTCTTATTCGAACGGACAATTCTACGGCACTAGCTTATGTCAATAAAATGGGCAGCGTGCAGCACCCGCAATTAAATGAATTGACGAGAACCATCTGGAAGTGGTGCGAATCAAAAAAATTATGGATATTTGCTTCCTACATCCCTTCATCAGAGAACTGGCAAGCAGACCGTGCGTCTCGCGTTTTGCATACCGAGACAGAGTGGTCTCTTAACCAACATGCCTTTGACGCAATAGCTCAAACTTTTGGTATCCCTGATATCGATTTGTTCGCGTCCATAGCTAATCACAAATGTGATAGATACATGTCTTGGTTAAGAGATCCTAGCTCGGAAAACATTGATGCTTTCACTGTCTCTTGGAAACACGTGAACTTTTACGCGTTCCCACCCTTTTCAATGGTTCTGAGAACCTTACAGAAAATTATCAGTGACGAAGCATCAGGTATCTTGGTGGTTCCTCTTTGGAAGAACCAGCCATGGTACCCATTATTTATACAATTAATTATAGGTAATCCAATCTACTTTGGACCCTCAAGTAATCTCCTGCTTTGCCCTTTCAGTCAAAAGAAACATCCATTATCGGAAAACCTTATCCTGGTGGCGGCCAGATTGTCAGGCAAGCTTTTCAACGAAAAGGGATTCCTCCGGAAGCTGTAGACACCATGATGAACTCCTTGAGTGACAATACGGTTTCTCAATACAACTGTAGCCTAAGACTTTGGTGGGAATTTTGTCAACTGAGGGACATGTCCCCTTTTAAATACGACGTACACAATATCATTTCATTCCTACAGCAGGTTATGAACACATAAAATAATACTTATAGTTCCTTCAATTCCCATAGGGCGGCTCTTTCCCTTATCACTTCTAGCGATTTAGGGACAAATACAGAGGTAAAACGATTTATGAAAGGAATTTTTCGAACTAGACCGCCTAGGCCTAGATATAATTTTACGTGGAATCCTCAAGATGTACTTAAGTTTTTAAATAAACCGCCCGATAAAGATCTAAGATCCGTATCCTGTAAATTAGTTACTCTCTTAGTGTTAGCTACCGGACAGAGAATCCAGGCTGTTGCTCTTATTAGATGTCCAAATATTAAATTTTCTACCTCAGGGGCAGACATCCAAATCCCCGATTTTGTGAAAACTTCAGGGCCTAAAACACTTCAACCTAAGTTGTCATTGCCGTATTTTCATGAATGTCCTAACTTGTGTGTTGCTTCTTGCCTACATCAGTACCTTGAACTAACTAAACTACTTCGCCCTGCCGATTGTGATAAGATTCTCACCTTCAATAAACCACATGGCCCAGCTACTAAGCAAACCTTGAGTCGCTGGGTAAAAAATACAATGGCAAAGGCAGGAATTGACACAAATATGTTCAAACCCCATTCCTCAAGGCACGCTTCCACTTCATGTGCGCTAAGACAAGGGGTGCATATAGATGCAATACGCAGATCAGCTGGTTGGAGCCAGGACTCTCAAACCTTTGCAAGGTTTTACAACAGACCTCTAGTAGAGAAAGATAATTATTTAACATCTGTCTTGAATCTATTATCATCAGAAACATAGAGGATATACTTACGGTTATTTGAATTTGTTTATCGTTTGTATCAACTTTTTCGTTTTTCTTAAAATAAAAGTTTCTTCCACCTGTCTTACTGCAACTTCCTTTAAACAGCTACACAATTATGTAATATTGAGGACTGGATCCCGAAATATAATTTATCGATCAAACGAACTTACCTGAAGTTCGATCGTAATTATATGAGGGTCCAGTCCGAAAATATTACAAACCCTACCCCTACCCGCCCCTGAGAGTTGCAGGTAATACATCTGGATACTTTGAAGAATGAAGCGAATAGGACGGTGCGCCACTAGATCATCAAGGTGAACGGCAGTCAGGACCGGACGGGCGCATTTTTCCTTTGCTTTGAACCTCGTGATAAAAAGTATGGAAAGCCACTACTACACAATTATGTAATATTTTCGGACTGGACCCTCATATAATTACGATCGAACTTCAGGTAAGTTCGTTTGATCGATAAATCATTTTTCTCAAAAATGAAGCTGAAGTACAATAACAATATCCAATACCCGGCAAAATTCTAACTTGTCACATTTCAAATAATAACCAGAAATATAAAACTACTCTTGAGTTGGGTAAATACCACAATTTTGCGGTGATAACTATGACATATAACAGCTGATTCGTGACGTCACGGATCTTATAACCAAACTGATAACTACACTCGCTTGAACGGATTGGTAAATACCAACCCAAAATGGTAAATACCATTTCCATTTGGTTATCCGCTTGAACTTGATTGTTGTTAGTTTATTAGATAAACATGATAATGAAAATATATTTTATATTTACCTGTCATGTCCACCCCTTTGTTACTTCGGCTACTATATGAATAATCTGTTGCAACAACATGGAATGTTTCACATGTTTTACATGTTCGGATAGGTCATTACAGGAGGAGAATACTGTTATGACGTAGTTTAACGTTTTGATGTTTGGTCCTTCAATCAAAGGCGATTTAATGTACCAAAATGCTGAAGTCTGACATACCGCCAGTCGGCCATCTTGAAAGATAGAGGTTTTATACTGTAGGCTACAGATTACCCCTAAGGGATGCCACAATGAATTACTAATTGGCCCTCCATTCCGCTTAAAGAAGTTTTGCAAGATGCCGCCCAACCATCGCATTGAAATGTTTGCTCACACTGTTGTACACCACCATGAAGGCTAGAGAGGAGGTTAAGCTACGTAAGGGACGCACGCATTTATTTGAAGTCAATTCTGTCGCTAAGGATGTTGTGGCTCTAGGTAGTCTAGTGCACTTACAACATGGAGTAAGAGCTTCCGATGCGCAATCATGATGACAGCAACAGGGGGGAGGCTACGTGCGCAGGACCTGAAATTTAATTTTTGCATATTGTACGTACGAGAGAGTTGCCACATGCTCAGAACCTGTTCAGTGTTGACACGTTTGGCTTCACCCTCACTCTATGAGTTTAAACTCCTATCTTTGGTCTTCATGCTACAACCTTATTATCCATGAGTTAATTTGAATACCTCGACTCTCAGTTTGTTCATTTGACTCGTTTTAAAAATAAGCAGGGGATGGCACATGGAAAAGCACAGTATAAAAGCTCTGTAAAATGTTACAAAACTAACTGGTCTGAAAATGCAGATATACTTACGACAATATTATGATGCTTGTACCATTATTCAACGGCAATGTTATCAAGTGCCATCTATTTTCGCACCTATGAATTAAATTGTCATCATAAAGAAAAAATACAATGAAGAATGTACACACTCCCACACGGTGCATGTACGTTGAAGATTAAAAAATGCATCGGGATTGTTCGCATAACTGCACCAAAGCACACATACACAAGCGGAACTGCACTGAAAACGTGTAAGCGTCAGGTAACGCTAGAATGGCGATGTATATAATTCACATACACGTATATATCAACTGATTTACTGCCCTTCAGACGATGCTTTGCACGCGAGAAAGGTATTTGTATATGTGGGTTTTAAAAAGTTTTAAGTAAGCAACAAGTGTCGTGCAACGGACGTGCCTGTTCTTGTACGCCACAAGAGACTGGAAGAAGACGTGGCAAGGGCGCGATGGCGACCGCCAGCGCCACGTTGCCGCTGTGTGCATTGGACAATTCAATTATATAGGAGAGACGCTGAATTGACATAAGTCTGTGCCAC